TATCAAACACATTTGTACATATGTTGTCATCATGATTTTCAAAACATTTTCTTTTTGTGTGGGGGTGTGTTATTGCTTGAAGCGAACGTGTTTGTCACAAGACTCCAAGTCCATTTCAGTGTTACTCTCCTCCTTTGTCCTGTAAGCCCCTCGGACCACTGTGGAGGTTTGAGGGCTAAGCAATCTGGAGGAATCAAAGCATTTCTTTCCACTCGAGCCCTTGGTCACAGTTCCTCTTCCCCCTCCCCCTTCCGACCTCCGTGAACCCTTCAGAGGGCAGGATTTCTCGATGGCTGTTTCTATGGTCACTCATTGTAGATCCCAGCTGAACAAAATCCTTGACAACCTGAATATTTTCTCCATTTATCAGGGTATTGTTTACTGATCCAGTTGTGCGGATTTCTTTTACATGTCAAAAAGGCTATCTGTCGCCTTCCACCTTCATCCGTAAGTGCTGCAAGCCCTCCCTCTCCTTTCAGCAAGCAAGCTTGTGGCACATCACAGATTTTCCATATTTTTTCTCTTCTATAATCCAACGTCTTGGACTGACTGCCCAGCATACAGATTGAATCAGTGTGATCCATGCACACCTGATGCACACCGTCCCTAATTTTAAACCATGCCAAATTCCCTTGTTCTACCTGAACGACCACCTCTTGGTCTACCCCATGACCCAACTTCAAAACTCCTTCTACATTTTCAGCATCTGCACAAGTAGCAGCACCCACAACCAGGTGCCCAACTGTATGATGCGGTCCTGCTGAAACAGGAAGGCCACAGGTGGATGGCTTTCACAAACAGGTGCCTATTCTCTCACGGTCTGGGAGGCTAGGGGTCCACATTCAGAACACAAGCTTCACGGGCAGACTTTCTCGGTGGGGTTTAGGGGAAGTTTCATGTTTCCTTTCTGCATCTGTGGAGCTCTTCATGGGCTGTGGTATGGCCCTCCCCCTGAGTGTAGCACAAGGCCCAAAGAGTGCCCTCCGCTCCTGGCACTTCTGTCTTGGTGGTGATGAGATCCAGCCTCCTCGAGTCTCTTTCCTTTTGTCTTTGTAAGACCCCAGGTGATGCAGGTTATGACCTGAGTAAGGGTGTTCCTCCCACTCTGATCCCTTGACAACTGATGAGTTGATCCCATCATGGCAGATAATTACATTATTCATAACTGCCAAACTTAAAATCATGGTCCAGCCAAATTGATACATATTTTGTGGAAAACACAATGAAATCCATGACATCACTCTGTCCAACGTGATCCATGATTTGTTATAACCAACACAGTTGAATGCCTGTGCATAGTCAGTGAGTCACAGGTAAACATCTTCCTGGTGCTCTCTGGTTTCAATCAAGATTCATCTCACATTAGAAACGACATCCCTCATTCCATAACCTCTTCTAAATCTAGTTTGAGTTCTTGGCAGTTCCCTGCTGCAACCATTTAAGAATTCTCTTAGGCAAAATGTTACTTGCCTGTGATATTAATGACATTGCTAGATAAATTTTGTGTTCTGTTGGCTCACCTTTCTTTGGAATGGACATAAATATGGATCTCTTGTTGGACATAAATATGGATTTTCTGTTGGATCACCTTTCTTTGGAGTGGACATAAATATGGATCTCTTCCCGTCGATTGGCCAGGTAATTTCTCAGATTTTTTGGCATAGATGAATGAGCTCTTCCAGCATTACATCCGTTGGTTGAAACATTTCCATTGGTATTCTGTCAGTGCTTGACTCTTGCTTTTCACAACTGCTGCAGTGCAGCTTAGACTATTTCATTCAGTACCATTGGCTCTCAATAATAGGCTACCACCTGAAATGGCTGAATGTCAACCACAAGATCAGCAGTTCAAAACCACCAGCTGCTCCTTTGGAGAAAGGTGAGGCTTTCTACCACCATATGCATTTGTAGGCTTGGAAAGCCACAGGTACAGTTCTGCTCTGTCTTAGAGGGTTGTGATGCGTCTGCATTAACTCAATGGCAGTGAGCTTGGTCTTTGTTCCGATCCGAGAGGCTCATTTCCAGCACGATACCAGACAATGCTCTGCGGCTCCTCAGAAAGTTTTCCCTGGCCGTCTTTAAAGTCAATTTTCAGGTCTTTCTTTTGAGTCCATCTTTGTCTGGAAAATCTGCTGAGCCTTGTCTCCCCTGGGTGACCCTGCTAGTGCTGGAAATCCCTGTGGCAGAGCTCCTGGTATCACAGCAATGTGTAAACCACACGCAAGCCAGGATGGCAGACTGACTGACAGGGGTGGGCATTTATCATATGACCCCAATTCTACTCCTATGCACTTCTTCCAGTGAAACCAAGCCTGTGCACACACAAATACCTATAAGCAAAATCTGAGAGCAATTTTATTGAGCATAGCCCCAAACTAGAAACCATCCAAAGGCCCCTCAAGTGGGGCATGAATAAACAAAATGTACCCACAAACAACAGGGTACTACTCCACAGCACAGAGAAGGGATTTCTGAGACTCGCAGCACTCGGGGTGCATCTCCAATGCGTGATTCTCATGAAGGAAGTGGGTCCCCAAAGATTTTTTAATGCATGAGATGCTGGAAAAGGTGAAATGATGAACAGAGGGTGCCAACCCTTCGGAGTCCCCAGGTGGTACCAGCCATTACGTGCTGAAAGGTTGCTGGTTACAAGCCACCCAGAGGCACCTTGGAAGGCAGAGGTGGAGATTTACTTCGGAAAGGTCAAAACCCTGAAATCTCTGTGGAGCACACATGGGATTGCTATAGCAACTGACAACAACACCAAATCAGGGCTCAAGGAGGAGTGGGAGGGTGGGGGAGGGAGGGAAAAAAAGAGGAGCTGATACCAAGGGCTCAAGCAGATGGAATGTCAATGGCAACATACGTACAAATGTGTTTGATACAATCAACGTATGGATTGTTGTAAGAGCTGTAAGAGCCCCCATTGAAATGATTAATTAATTTTTTAAAAAGTTAGAGGAGGGAAGGTGGGAATGGGGAACTGACAGCAATGATGACTGTGTAGCACCACTCAAGGGGAACGAATAACAGAATAGTAGAATGAAGACACTGGATGGTGTAAGATATGGCAAAGAAAAAAAATAATAATAAGGGTTCCTGAGGGTTAGGGTGGTGGGAGGAGGGGATAAAAGGGAGCTGATATCACAGAGATCAAGAAGAAAGAAAATGTTTTGAAAAGTATGGTGTCAGTAATTGTGACATTGTGCTTGACCTAGTTGAATTATGGATTGTTACAATATCTGTAAGAACTCCCAATAAAATGATGAGAAAAAAAATAGAGTTAGAGGAGGGTTTGCCTGTAAAGAATGAGGGATTAGCTCCATGCAAATGTTGGTGTCTTTCCCACTGATGACCCTTTCTCTGGATCCGTAGACACAGACCAGGGAGAGGAATGTGAGTGGGAACCAAGCAGGTGGGGACTACCTGGACGGGATGAAGAAACAAAACCCAAACTCACTGTCGTTGAGTTGAACCAGACTCATGGTGACCTGACAGGACAGGACAGAGCTGCCCCTGTGGGCTTCTGAGGCGCTACCTCTTTACAGGAGTACCAAGCCTCATCTTTTGCCTGAAAAGGGAGGGAAAGGCTCTTAAACTGTTGCCAGTGACAAAGAAATCACTCCAGGCAGACCTGACAGCTATGAGAGGTTCAGCACCAGATCACTGAAATCCAGTGGGCTTTGCAATGAAGCCAGTCGCACGGATGCTCTGGGTTCCCGCTGCGTATGAAGGTTACACGGATACTACTGCCGCTTATGGAGTGTGCAACAGCATCTTGAAGAAGTCTGAATATTGTGAGAATCACCAAAAAGTGAGCGGAGACACCAAGTAAGAAAATGCTGTCAGAAACACGGTGCCAATAGACCTGCTCAGCACAGCGTTGCCACAAACCTTCCATTTGCTTCTTTTAAAATGCAGTATCTGTGAATTGCGATTCAGCAAAACACAATGAAATACATGAAAAGGTATGGCTGTGGTTGCTTTTCTCCGTCAAAGACAAACGTGATTTCCCAAGGGACAAAGGGCTTCATCCACTGCTCACTCTGACTCCCTCTCTTACCTCCTGGCTTTCACCCCAACGCTGAGCACCTGGTCCTGCCTGTTCACTCCAACAGTGTGCAGGACCTTCTCCAGGAAAGCCTTCCTCCCTGCCCACCCACACCCTTCCCTCAAACTCCTTTCTTCAACACCCTAAGGCATAGACAGCCTACGGCTTGCTAACTCATGTAGACTTCAAGAAGAGTCATCTATTTCTTTTTTGGTCAATTCAGGTAATCCCCATTAAGGGGTGAATGCCTTATAGACTAAGACTATTGCTTTTAAAAAAGGAACTCATAGGAACATGCCAATAATTGGCAGAATATTTGTAAGAAACGTGTTAAGGGGGAAGGGTTTTCCAGCATCCCCGACCATTATCTCTTCACTCACCATGCCCTAAGACAGCGGTTCTCCACCTTCCTAATGCTGCGACTCTTTAATATAGTTCCTCATGGTGTGATGATCCCCAACCATAAAATTATTTTCGTTGCTACTTCATCACTGTCATTTTGCTATTGTTGTGAATCGTCATATACATATCTGATAGACAAGATGTCATTTCATTGTTAGAAATGAAACATAATGAAACATAATGAAAGCATCGTGATTATATATTGTGAAATATTTGTGTTTTCTGATGGTCTTAGGCAACCCCTGTGAAAGGGTTGTTTGACCCCCAAAGGGGTTGCGACCCCCAGGTAGAGAACGGCTGGCCTAAGAGAAGACATTCGCCCTGACGGGAACTCGACCCTTGCCCTCTAGACTCCGTTCAGATGCACGTGGTCAGAGCGGACCAGTCCCTTTGGGTGCTGGGGGAGGATGGGCATGCCCAAGCCTCTCCATCACTGTTCTTCCGGGTTCAGTGACCACTCTTCCTCTCAAAGAAAGTCCTCCCCCTCGGCTCCAGCCTGAGGCCCCCCGCCCCTCTTCCTCAGCCCCTTCCCTTTGTCCTTCCTTACCTGCTGTCTGCCGAAGCTGTGCTCCCAGGCTCAGCGTGAGCAGGAGAACGAACATGTTCTGTCCTGAATCTGCAACAGACAACTGAGAGTCTCAGGGTTTTTTGCAGCTTTGCTCGGTCTCATGATTTAGTGACTCGATCCCTTCTGAACACTGGGAAAGGACTCGTAATCACCTCTTTCTGGGAGGCAGAGGGTGGCGGTGGCGATAGAGAGGCTCCAGGAAGAGACATTGTAAGCTGATTGTCAGAGGAGGAGCTGGGTAATAGGGTAAGGGGAAGTGAGTTGCTTAGAAACTTCCTCCTTTTCTGCATCTGAGTCAGTCCTCATGACTTTCCCACACCAGCAGTCATCTTCACCTCTCTGCCCCTCCCACAAGCCCACCTGCAGCTTCCCAACCTCCTCTGACCAATGGGGGACCTGGGCTACTGCCTCCAGTTGAACTGGAGCCCCAGGTGCCATGCGTTGGAGGCGAGTGCTCCGCAGAACAAAGCTAGTGAAGCAGGAGTAGGAAGCGCAGGGGTCGGTTGACTGACAGGCCAAGTTGTCAGGTTATCTTCAGGGCTGTGGCGGTGTGTGCCCCTGAACCACGCTGTAGGAAGAGGTTTAGACAGGGAGAGTAGGACACTGGCTCTGTGAAGGGGCGGATACTCAGCTTCGGTCTGGCTGCCCCTCCTGTACTTCTCCCCAAGGCTCCCAATCCCCCTCCCACCCAAGGATTGCTCATGAGTGGAAGCAAGCTGCGCAGGATCTAACCCTGTCCACTTTCCAGTCCTCCACGAGGGTCCTAAATTTGATGAGCCACAGAACCAGTTCTTCTAGGGAAGTCCTTTGGAGCCATACATCTACACAGTGGAAACGGATTCTGAGGGAGTGGAGAGCCATGGGGAGGTGCTGATGAGGGGGAGTACATGAAGCATTCCATTCTTGAAAAGGACTGGCCTGCAGGGTCCACAATAGAGCGGAGGCGGCACCCTGCTTCACTCCAGCCTCACGAGGCCACAGTTTGTACCGCGGCTCCGGAAATCAACACGTTCTTCAGGTGATGGTGACTCCATTTGGTTGCAAAAATGAACTTAATGGCTCTCCAGTAAGTTTTTCAGTATTGTGAGGGACCAGAGTGGCTCTTCTGTCTTTGACGTTTTCCAACCCCTGCCATCAACTATTGCAAGAGCAGACGCAGGAAGAGTCCTCCAGAGGCACAGGCTTCTGCAGAGATGGGCTGAGCTTGGGTTGTGGGGGAGGGGAGCAAGAAGTGGTCTGTTGATTACGTATCCCTTCTAATTTATTCCTCACCCTTTAATTTGTTGTCTAGCTTTGTTGAAGTATTATTGGCATACAAGAGAAGGATATATATATACACAAATATATTGTATATCAATTGTACCTCAGTAAAGTGTACCTCTCTCTATCGATGATAGAGGAGTCCATGTTATGTGCACAATTCACTGGTTTTTCGTATATTACAGAATTATGCCATCATCATCACCATTTATTTCCAGAACATTTTCATCACTTCAAAAAGAAACCTGGTGCCCATTAGAAGAAATTCCCCATTTCCTCCCTCTTTCTGTGGAAACCACAAATCCACTTCCTGTCTATAGATTTGCCTATCCTGGTATTTCATACAAGTACAATCATATGATACGTGGCACTTTGCTACTGGCTTCTTTCATTGGGCATAATGAGTTCAAAGTGCACCCATGTTGTAGCGTGTCTCCGTGCTGCATTACTTTTAACGGTTGACTAATATTCCACTATACCAAACCCCCCATCCCACCTCCAAACTCACTGCCTTTCAGTTCATTCTGACTTACAGTGACCCTTCAGGACAGAGAATAACTGTCTCTGTAGGTTACTGAGATTGTAACTCTTCATGAGAATAGAAAACCTCATCTTTCCCTCAAAGGCTGGTGGCTTTGAACTGCTGATATTGTGGTTAGCATCCCAAGTCATAATCCATGACATCACCAGGCATCTTATGTCCCACTATACAGATAGACCAAAAGGAGTCCTGGGGAGGCAGTGGGGTACTGATCAGCTGCTAACTCCTCTCTGTGGGAGAGAGATGTGGCGATCTGCTTCCGCAAATAGTACAGCCTTTGTGTGGGGGTTCAAGATCATAGTCATGGGGGGCATTAAGGTCAATTAGCACAACAGTTCACAAACAGTGCTCTACATTCTACTTTGTAAGGAGTGATTGGGGTCTTAAAAGCTTGTGAGTAGCCAACAAACGTACAACTATTGGCGCAACTATGAAAATCAAAAGACATAGGGAAATATGTCCATTACTCCAACGGGCTAATGGCACACATGAACAGTCTCCACAACCCTGAGACCAGATCAAGATGGTTCTTGACTCCCACTACCGACTGCTCTAAAAAGGATCATATTAGAAGGTCCTATGGTGGGGGGGGGGACGACTGTGGAACAAACTGAGTGGGTAGAGACTGGCGAAACCCTCAAGAGTGAAGTCTTTACAACAGAAAAATGGGTTAAGGGCAACAGCAGTCGGTGTAAGACATGGAAAAAATTAAAATTACCAAGTGAGTGAGGGGGGGGTGGAAATGAGCCAATACCAAGGGCTCAAGTAGAAAGAAAATGTTTTGAAAATGATGATGGCAACATATGTACAAATGTGCTTGACACAATGGATGGATGCATGGATTGTGATAAGAGCTGTACAAGCGCCCCCTCCCCAAAATGATTTTTATTTTTTATTTTTAAGAAGCAAGTTCAGTCTTTAGTCACTCCTCAGGTCTGGCCCTGAACTCACTCCCACGTTAGAATGGTCAACCATTGATGATCAAAAGGGCAGCATGACTCCGTGAGAGTGCAGAGGGTTAGGGGAGAGGAGGGAGGGAAGCAGGAAACAGAGAGGAAGTGGGAGGCGGCGTGGGTCCAGTGAGGGGCTGACAAGGGGCGAGTTGAGATGAAAGGTGTACAAATTGTGGAATGTAAAACTGATGATCTCCTCTTGAAAACAACACCTAATTCACACTAACAAGTTAAACGAAAACAACAAAGACAGAAGGATAGAAAGCAAGACAGACAGACAGACAGACAAGATGACAGCCTTGGCTAGCCTGTGGGGCAGTCCTACGGGAACCTCTGTGTTGCCGGGAGTCAGAAGCAACAAAGGCCCTGCGCTGGCTTTCGTTTGGCGTTGTTTGGTTCCCATTTCCTGAGGGTAGGGATGTACAACATTTGTTGACGCGCTCTTTTGTGGTGAGATGCTTGGGTGGTTTTCCCTTTGGGTGTGAAAAAGCTACCATGAACAGAAGCTCTGTGTGAACACACATTTACATGTTTCTCAAGAACATCCCGAGGAATGGAACTGCTCGGTCATATGATTATCTTTGGTTAACGTTGTGAGGGCCTACCAGACTGCTTCACAGGGGCCGCACCATTTCACATTCTCACCGCGAGTGGTAATTGTTCATTTTTTCCTGATCTCTCGGTACTAGTGGGTGTGAAGTGGCATCTCACTATGGTTTTGACTTTCATTTCCCTAATGACTAGTCAAACTGAGCGTCTTTTGAATGTCCTTGTTGGCCATTTGTATGTCTTCTTTGTGAAAATGTCTATTCACAGCCTTTACACCTTTAGGATAATTTGTCATTTTTTCTTGTTAGGTTTTGAGTTCTTTGTATGAGAAGTTCAAAGAGTTCATGGCAAAATTCCATGACCCTTTAGCTCTACTTTTCCATGAACTTTTTGAAGCCCCTTCATGTATTTTGAATACTAGACCTTGGTCAAATATACGATTTGCAGATATTGTCCTTTAACTCATTTGATAGTGCCATCTAAAGTACAAAAGTTCTTAATTTTTATGAAATCCAGAATATCTATTTCTCCTTTGATTATACATTAGATGTCTTATCTAAGAAACCCCGCTCCAATCCAACGTCATTAAGGTGCTTACCTAGGTTTTCTCTGAACAATCTTATAGCTTTATTTCTTACATTTAACTATCTGATTAATTTTGAGCTCGGTTTTCTATTATATGGTATCAGGAAGTAGATAACTGGAGAGTTGTCCCACTCATTAGTCTGTGTCAGGAAATTTGGAAGAAAGCTTCCCGGCCAACTGATTGGAAGAGATCCATATTTGTGTCCATTCCAAAGAAAGATAACCCAGCAGAATGCTCAAATTGTAGAACAATATCGTTGATATCACATGCAAGTAAAATTTTGCTGAAGATCATTCAGCAAGTGCAGCAGTACACTGACAGGGAACTTCCGGAAATTCAGGCCGGAATTGAGAAGGGAACAAGGGATATCATGGCTGATGTCAGATGGACCTTGGCTGAATGCAGAGAATCCCAGAAAGATGTTTACTTGTGTTTTATGGGCTATGCACAGGCATTAGATTGTATGGACCATAACAAACTATGGGAAACCTTCAGAAGAATGGGAATCCCAGAACACTTCATTTGCTCATGTGGAAACTGTACATGGACCACGTGGCATTGTTCCAACAGAAAAAGTGGATATTCTCCACAAGAGAGGGAGAAAGGGACCAGACCTCAACCTGGCGTGCCAAGCTGTGAAGGCAACATGCCGGCATGAAGCAGCGAACCAATAGAGAGGTCTGTGGGGCGGCCCCAATCCCAGCTACATGGACCCCCTCCCCGGAAGCGTGCACTACAGAGAACAGCACTGAAGCTACAGCTCGGGGAGAGGGGTGCTTCTGCTCAGAGCACATGGGAGCAAACTAAGAGGGAAGGAGACAGAAAGAGAGAGTGGAACACATCCTGGCCCATCAAGTCCCAAGGACGATATTCTTGCTCAGAGCAGCCAATGCACAGAGAGGACCACAGGGCTGGCCTCACTGGGAGACATGACTTAGAGCTACGGGACACAACACTGGAGACATAGTGTGGGAACTGTGCCCAATCTGACCCCACGACACCGGGGCAAAACACGAAGGGCATGCAACAGAGCAGCAAGGGGACAAAGAAATGAAGTTCCCCAAGGAACCCCAAAAATTAGACTTCGGGGAGCATGGCATGGTACCTCATTAGATTCGACTGGAAAACACACCTAAAAGTCAACAGACAGACCTGGAACTATTTATAGGCTCTCCT